ACTTCTGTCTGTATCCTTTTCACTGGCTGTTCACACACAGGATGGGGACTGCAGCTCGAGTTGCTGTGGCAACGGGAAGCAGCACTGGAGTGAGCAGTTACAGCATGATCGTGTTCACCGGATGGGACTATAGTTGCCTGGGAGACAGAGCTACCAAACTGAAGCAGAAAAACATCCTCTACCAGCTACAGGTCAGAAGGGATCTATCCTACTTAACAGGATGAAGTGCTGGAAAAGAGAAACGTGACCCACACGTGGCAGCTTTGCTCCACAGTTTCGTATACACGATGTGCCTTCAGGTGACCCCTCATTTCTCTTCTCTCCCTCGGCCAGGTGGATCTGGAGGAGGAGAGTCGAAAGAGACACAAGGCTGATCTGTCAACATCAAAAAAAGTGATTTTATACTCTCTGCGTGTTTTAATGACTTTTCTTTCACTTGGGTTCATTGGAGGAGCTTTCTACGGCATCTATGTGACCACACAGTTCAGCCAGGTAAACGATGTAAAAATAATGATGCCAACATGATCTTCTTGAAGCTCTGGGTGACCATCTCCCATTTCTGCTAAACAGAATAGGGCTGATGAGCAAGGGATCCTTGGCTTTATTATTCAGTATCTCCCGTCCATGGTCATCACTGCTGGAAACTTTGTGGTGCCTCTGCTGTGTGACAAGATCGCCTTAGTAGAGCAATACTTCCCCAGCACTACTATCATATTGGCTCTCTTAAGGTTTGTGAGAAAGAGATTATGTCACATGCATTTAATTTGTTTGTGTTTGTAATGCTTGAAAAAAAAAATCTGATCAGTCGCTCCAAGCCCATATCTTCTTATCACAAATACACAATGAGATATGACAAACTCCAGCAAATGTGGAAATTTTTATTGTAAATAAGAGAGTAAATGCAGAATTATAACACTATAACAACTATTGATAATAATGATGCTGCTGCACCTATTTTAAAAATTGACCAGAATATTAAACACAATAAATATTTTACTCACTTTAATCATAGTACTATAACTAGGCCCATAATTATCAAGACTGCCTAGCTTGCCAGGTTCATCCTTAACGACTGGCTCTAACAGAGCAGACAATAATGGGTCTAGTCACAAGCCATGGGTCAAACAAACAGCAAAATGTTAAATGCCTGATGATAAATATGATCTAACCCACATGTTTTATTATCTGGCCACTATGGCTATACACAAGCTGCTATAATGCTTTTGCCATGATTCTCCAATATAGTGTGCAATACGAAGGAAATTATGCTGCAATCACCACCTTACCTGTTCTACAATTCAATTTCAGCTCAGGTTACTTCGTGTGGCACGTCCTTCAGTTTTAAAAAAAATACTAGCTCACCCTGGCTCCCACACAACTTACATCAGCTAAAACGTTGTTCATGGGGCCCTCAAGGTAAAATAAACACAAAAAACAGCTTAAAACCTTCCCTGCTTTAAACCTGGTCATTAGTTTTATGTAACAAACTTGTAAATATGGTAGTGTATCCTTATCTGTGTTGAGTTATCAAGTAAGATTAGTGTGAAATTAAAATTAGATGAATGAAAATGACCCATTTCTCTTCCACACCCAGGGCAGTGTTTCTGCGTCTGGTGAGTCTGGGCGTCCTCCTCTACACCCTGTGGAGTCAGATCACCTGCTACCCTAACGAGCTCAAAGGAAACTGTACACTGTGCGGGTACAACTACAAAGAATTCCAAGTAATTATATTACTGATCTTCATTTTCAGAGTGTAACAGCGCGGAGGGGGTCCTATATGACAGACCTTCTGTTGTTTGTGTTTAAGTTGTCTGTCATGAGAAAAAGCAGTGCTTTCAGTTTGTTGCTGGATCAAGACTTTGCTGGGTAAATTAAACAGGATCCCTTGAAGGCTTCGACGTGCAAAAGAAAAACTGACAGAATAATTGAACTGGAAACTCATTTACACTCCGTTTGTATTTTAAAAAGTCATAAACAATAATGGTAAAGCATGTCAGGTTTTTCAGTAAATATTTTTTGATCTCTTGGGGAGAACAGTAGCAGCTCTGCGACTGCCTCGTTCCGCTGACGGAGGCTTGAGTAAAATACAAAACGCGCTCTTTAACAGCTGCTATAACAGCCTGTGTGTGCAGACAAAGAGGTTAACACAACAGTAACATCAGCTTTGAATATATTCAGCATGTCCACACTGAAAGACAATCTTATCTTTTCTTATTGGTAGTGCTGGGAAACACGTGTGGGGCAGGAAATGTACAAGCTCACAATGTTTGACCTCCTCATCACCGTTGCTGTTTTTCTGCTGGTTGAATTTCCACGCAGGTACTTTTTATAGCATAAAGATATGAGTCGTATTAATGCACATCATGCAAATGCATGCTGTATATTTGAATACTGGTCAATCAGTCTTGTGTTCAGCTATGTAGTGTTTTTTTGTGTATGTGGTAGGCTTGTGGTGGATAACTGTTCCTGTAAGCCTGTTCAGTGGGTGGGGCGGCAGGAGTTTGTGGTTCCCTCCAATGTGCTTGGCCTGGTTTATGGTCAGACTGTGGTCTGGGTGGGAGCTCTTTTTTGCCCTCTGCTGCCCGCCATCAACACCTTGAAGTTTGTCATCCTGTTTTACTGCAAGAAGGTGAGGCTCTAGCTTTAACACCGCCAACACGTCACACATTGCTTGGTGATTGTGTCCCTAATCCACTATTAAATTGCCACTTTCCCCCCGCAGATAACACTCTTCCAAAACTGTCGGCCAGCGCTGAGGACGTTTCGTTCTACCACCTCCACCTTCTTTTTTCTGGTGGTGCTCCTGTTTGGATGGGGTTTGGCAACAGTTGTCTTGATTTACAGTCTTTCTGAGTGAGTGTTTCATACTTACCTGTAACAGTTGCAACACAACTGCTTTTTCTGTATCACTGTAAGAAAACTTGCTGTCTTGCTATACTTGCTATAAACTTTGCATGAAAACATTTTTCATGTTATTTAACATTGCTGAGGACAAGTGTGTCCCTCTTCCTCAAACAGGATCCGTCCCTCTTACGGTTGTGGTCCTTTCCACTCATCCAGTACCATGTGGTCAACTGTTCCAGACTCATTCAACAATCTCTCTAACGTCACACAGGAGTTTCTCTTCTTCGTCGGCTCCCAGGCGTTCTCCATCCCTCTTTTTGCATTAGCAATGTGCGTGAACTCTCAGTATGCTATTTGTGTAATGATGACCTGCATATTAAATAGTCCTTACTGTGCATTTCATGGAGTAATATTATGTCTCTCTTCTCCCTGGCAGTGTGGTGATGTGCTATGTCGTAGCTTTAGCAACTGTCTATGGGAGAAGCATTGCACTGCTAAAAGCTCAGCTTAAACTGGTAAACTGCTTTATTATTATTACTATTATTATTATTAGATAAAGTCATGTACTTAAGGAAAAAGCCAAAGAAGGAAAGTAAATACACCCTCTTTCAATTGTTCAGGACATAGTAACAAAAAAAATCATCTGGTCCTTATCAGACTCTAACATGATGTATTACACCATGTGATTACTTAACAAAAATTATGCCAAAATGCAGAAGCGCTGTGTGACAAACTAGGTACAACTAGGTACACTTCCTGATTCAGTAGCTGTTAGAACTGTATGACTATTGGTCTCTCACATTGTTATGAAGGAATTTTGGCCCACCACAGCTTTTCAATATGTTTAAGGTTAGGAATTTGACTGGACAATTGCAGCACCTTGACTCTTTTCTTTGTCAACCATTCAGTTATAGATTTGCTGCTGTTCTTGGGATCACTGTCCTGCTGCATGACCCAAATTCAGCCAAGCTTTAGCTGTCAGACAGATGGTCTCATAGTTGACTCTAGAATACTTTGGTATACAGAGGAGTTTAAGGTTGACTCAATCACTGCAAAGTGCTCAGGTCCAGTGGGTGCAAATAACAAGCACAAGTCATTACCCCTCCAGCACCGTGCTGGACAGTTGGTTTGAAATGTTTGTGCTGATATGCTGTGCCTGGTTTTCACCAAACATGATGCTACACATTATGGTCAAGGATCGCCACTTTGGTCTAAACTGAACAAAGGACATTGTTTCAGAAGTCTTAAGGTTTGTTTAGACTTAAGCTGTGTTGCCATGACTTACAGTAAATAGGCTTTCTCCTGGCAACCTTTCCAAACGAGCCAGTCTTTTTAAACTGTACTGTCAGTTTTCTACAACTGCTTCTGCATCATGTTTCAGTATTTGTTACAAAATGAAACAGTCTAATATATAATAACTTTCTGCTTGTGTGTATTTACATTAACTTCATTTTAAAACCTGCCGAGGATTAATATCATGTGTTGATAGGTAAAATCTTGGAATTCAAAGAGGATGCATTCACAGGCACTTTACAACAACTACACACAGTCCAGTCCAAATATACAAACCTATCTGCGTTAATTACCTTACAGTTTATAATGACCCTACAGTCCCGAAATTAAATGGTGATCTTTTATATACGTCATTAGGCTTCACTTTGAAACAGTAAGTTAAATGGTTTCCTGATTCTCACATGGACTTATGAGTTTTTGGTTTACAGGAGAGCCGTGACAAACAGTTCCTGATCAAGCAGATTGAGAGCCTGAGTCGGCAAGCTCATATGCCGACACATCATGCAGGAGTACAAGATTGAACACGACATATGGGCGAGGATCTACCGTCTTGAAAACAACATAATAAGACTTGTTTTTATGTTTATAATTTAATGCAGGCTAGGTTTTACCACACACGTCTGCACGAAGATAACTGTATTAAAAGTTGTGATTTTTTTTAAAGGAATACATAAAGAAGGAGAATTAAAACTTTATCGTTATTAGAGTATAACATTTCCACTATGTAAATAGATTAGTGCCTTTTCTGTCTGTCCTTCAAAGCAGATATTCTTTTCTTTACATAATAAAATAAAATGAGAAACATAACAGCCCCCTCTGCTGTCGCCATTGTGTTATTGCTTCAACATGGAGCTACTGTTTACTTCCTGTTTGGGTCTGCCTGTTCCTGTGAGGTCCTGCTACCTGTCCAACAAGAACAATTCTTCACTCAACAAGTTGGTGACAGTGCCTGGGCCCTGTTTTAGAGAGTAAAATGTTAAAAAAATATTGCTAAATTGGCGGAAATGTGATATCTATGCGTGGTGCTGAGTCCTTAAGGTAAAGTAGATGTGGAAAGTAGCAAACATCGGCTAACATTATCTCGTTAGCTCTGCCTCTTGGGAGGTCAAAGCTGCAAATATAAAGTTTGTTTTTGTATATTTATATATTTTTATTCTATTTTCCGCTTTGGGGCATTGACGCATTTCCTTCCACAACTAGCGGCTTTATTTGGGGGAACTTATTCACGTTTTCCTTCCACTTTTGCCGCTGCTAGCCGACTGCTAACCTATAGTAGTAACAGTCGCCAAGGGAACAATGAACATCCTTCCGAAGAAGAGCTGGCATGTCCGCAACAAAGACAACGTCGCTCGAGTGCGGAGGGACGAGGCCCAGGCAGCAGAGGAGGAGCGCGAGGCCAAGCGTCGCGTGGAACGCGCGGAGCAAGAGGTGACTCCGGGTGGATGACCGTGGCGTGCTGTTACTGTACATACTTTTTGCTCTGTTTCCCATGTAGTTTGAGCAGGATACCTCAAATTCAAACCAGATATGATCAGAAGCAAGGTTACTAACTTGAACAACATAAAAAAAAGTACTCATTTATAATAAAAGTATACAGTAAATGTCCTTTTTCAGTAGGGCCTACCTGAGATGCTCTTAGTCCAACCCTAGTTACAAAAAAGTTAGAATACTGTGTAAAGTGTTGCTGAAAACAGTGAGGATTTTTAAATTAAGTAAACCTAAATATACCTTGAAGCACTGATGGTACCTTTCCAGATTTGCAAGCTGCCAGTTCCATAGGCACTAATGCACACGTTGTACCTTGAGAAACAGTTTCTACTGTGCCTCAGTCCATTTTGAATAGGCTTTGGCCCAGAGAAGGCAGCGTTTTTGTATCATGTTCACATATGGCTACTTTGAAGTGTAACAGTAATTTCTGAAAGTGTTCCTGAACCCATGCAGTGACTCCATGACAGAATCCTGCCTATTTTTACTGCACTGTTGCCTGTGTTGCCAAAAATCACAGGCATCTAGTATTGATATTCAAAGTCTTTGTAACTTTACATTTAGGAGCTTTATGCTGAAATTGGTACACAACTTGTAGACACAGTTTTTGCATATCCAGTCATGTTACTGAGCGGTTGGCAGTTAACTTAGTTGCAAAATATTCCTCTAGCTGTTTCCTTTTAGTTAAGCTTACTTTTCCAGCCTTTTGTTACCACTGTCCCAACTTTTTGAGATCTGTTGCTGCCAACAAAATCATTTAAAACATTGGTTATAAACAACAATAACAGTTGTGAATAAAAATTGCAAAATGCAAATTAAGGCATTCTCTTTTTAATCTACATTTTGCACAATAAATAAATATGTAGAATATTAAAGCTTTTTATAATGGGATGGAAATCTAAAAAATAAATATATTAAAAAGGCAGAATTATTTTGAAATCAAATGTATTACAGAAAAGTTACCCAAAAACAATAATGTCAGTACTGTACATTAAAGTAAAGGACAGGAAACGTGAGATGACATTGAAGTAGCTCAGTATCACAGGGGGTAAAATGTAGTGGGCCGTGCAGAGCCGGAATAAAATGTTATCATGCGAGAACAGATTGTTCTCTGCTACACTTATGTGTTGCATTGCAGAGATTATTAGGGTTTTACTGTATTTAAAGAAGCTTTGAGCCCATCAGTGAGGGTTTTTTTTGCCATCCACTGTCACTAAAAATATTTTTAACCATTTTATTTAACTTATTAAAGCTTAAAATAAATTTTTGTTGATCAAATAGACAAAATGTATTGGAAAACATATAGACCTTTGATACGTTAAGTAACCCAGATGTCCAGAACCCCTTAAAAGGCCCACACTGAGACAGGAAACACCCTGTTTTTATGAAACAACAGAGTGAAAGCAGACTAAATATTAGCAACCACGTATGCATTATAATAGGTAGAGTGTAAGCATCAGATACTGTCCTTGTTGACTGCTGATTAACATTGTTTCTCTGATGTGTCAGCTAACTTTTGTGCTGACTAAATGTTCAAACGGTGTAGTGATCTTTTCTTTATTTCCCCTGCCAAAAAAGGGTGGATAGTTAATGGTAAAAATATGTAATATACTAATTAAAAAACAAACAAGTTGTTATTTTAAACATCAGTATTGGTCCAGAGTTTTGCAATCACTGCATCCCTAATAGATCTCTCACTAGTGCACGCCTATCCTCTACAATTGTAAAAAACAACACATTTACTGTTGTATGCTGTCTTTTGTTAATATTTTAAAAAAAAACAACACCTGGAAATCAATGCTAACCTTTCCTGTGTGTTACTATTCAGATTGCTGTAAATGTACTGTACGTCTCTAAATTGGCACCAGTAGAAAACTTAAGTATTTATGATTTGAGTTTAGTTTTTTATTATGAAGGTTAAATAAGCTTTGCCGTGCCCATGAATGTCCTTTAATTGTTGTTCATTGTTTACAGGCACGTACAGAGTATCTGAGAAGGAAAGCCCGAGCTGCTCTTCAGCCAACAGGAGGAAGCAGAGATGATGGTGATGAGGAACAGGGTGGAGGAAGTGGAGCTCTGGAGCATCTCAATCTTTTCCCCCTGGAGGAGTCCTCGGAGAAGAAGGGGAATGAGGAGTATCTCAGGGAAAAGAAAGAAGAAAAGGTGTCCGTGCTGCTGCTTCTGTCAGTCTTCTCTTTCATGCTTTTCTTTTGCTCTGACGTAGCAGCTGAATGATAGCAAAGCTTTTGCAAGTTTGGTACCACATCTGGGTTCAGTGTCCTGCATGGTCTGTGGTTGCAGGTCCAGTGCTGAATACCATTTACATTTTCATTTTTTCCATTAAAAACCTTTAGTAGTTAGGAGTGGATCTGCAAAATCTTGCTTTTCAGCTCAGTCACAAAAATGCTAAATGCTTTGTATGTTTTTGAAATGTTGCCAGAGAAAAGATGATTCTTATCTAATCTCATCATTAGTGGGTGTAGTTTTCTCAGATGTCATTTGAGTGGTTTGTTATCACCACACTTTAAAAAGCAATGCAATCAGTTTAAATTTTTGTCTTGTTGTCATCATACCTGCTATTCTATTCTGCAGCCCAGTGCCAGTATGTATGCATGCAGCGTAAATAGATGCAGCATGAGACGGGTGGGAAATTAATTCAGACAGACAATATAAATACAAGTTAAAGCCCGTGGATGTGATCAAGGCTTTCCAATCACAGGTCAGAAAATGCCAAAATGCTGCTGATGGCAAAGCAGAGGCACTTTAGTACCATTTACATTTATTTAATGATTTGCTGAAGTATATTAGTTTATTGTGTGTCCTGTTTTAATAGCAGAGAATATCCATAACAGTTGTTGTGTTTTAGTTAATTAAAATTTTTTGCTTCAGTAAATTCAGAACTCAACAGGAAGTTGAATTTTTGAAGTGGTGTGGTGGGAAACACCTTGGTGCATAATGAGATACGCTACACTCAGGCTACGTCCACACTAATGCGTTGTCGTTTGAAAACGCATTGTTTTCTCTCTGTTTCGGCCTCCTGTCCACACTGAGACAGCGTTTTTGCTGATGGAAAACGCAGCATTTTGAAAACGCTCTCAAAAACATTTCTGGTTTCCTTGGTAACCTTTCATGTATATACATATGTGTATATGCACTACTTCCAAACACTTTGTATAAGCACTTTCTTTCTTTCAAGAACACCTACTAATTGTATGTCACGTTGCTGTATTGAGTGTTTGGATTTCAAAAGGGATATTGTCAGCCACGATTTATCACCTAATGCTGATTTCCTGTTGCCACTAGCTGTCGCGCTGACTTTGTGTAGATGTCTCCAGACTCGCTTCCAGGACGTCAAGCTCAGGACAGAGTGGACAGTGTACATTTGAGTTATAAGAGCTTTTTGTGGCAACTAATCAAAATTTGCTGAGCTGACATGGACGCACCAGACAACACAAACTCAAAAACTTCTTAGTTTGGCATTGCCAAGGTCTTTAGATTAAAGTTCTCTAAGAGGAGTTTGATAAAGTGTACTGCCTGAAAAAAAGCATTTTACATTTAAAACACTGGACTTCCTGTTGGGTTTAGAGCATGTCTCCAAGAGGCTTTTTTTCTAAATATTGCAGGTTTAAGTCAGGCTACAGAATTTCATACATGTAAGTGAAACTTGTTATTGTTTTTTTTATATGTAGCACCAGAAACTATTTTTCCCACATCCACAGGCCAAACCTACAAAATACAAAAACTTTTACCAGTTTCGTACCTTTCAAACTTTCCTACCCCATCAACAACTTCCTGTTTTAACAATATGAAGCTAAAATAGAGACCAATCAAAAAGCAGTTCATCTGCTCTTCTAGACCTTTTCGACTTTAGCTTGGAATACGGTCGAGAGTATCAGGTCGCATTTTTTCCCACTGTTTTCCTTTATCACACAAGAAATAGTTTGCTTTTGACATCTTCCCACTGCTGGTTTTATGTGAGGGAGCTGCTCAAATAGCACACAGCATGCGGCACACATGATGCCTCAGACAGTTAGCTCTGCTATTTGCACTTAGGAACAAGTACTATGGAGCTCGTGGAAGGTTAAAGACAGGTTAATGTCCCGTCTGGCTACTCAGATATTTACATTCTCCTATCTGTTGGGCATTGTATAAACAAAACAAACACATGTATAAACAAAAAGTGTGCTACAGTAATGAAAAAAATAACACAAAATATTTGTTTTCTGTTGTTGCTTTTGTGGGGGGGGGGTTTCTAGGAGAAGCAGGAAAGAGCCATTGGCTTACTGGTGTCATTGGGACCCCAGCCGGGGTCTGAGGTCACGCCGTGGTATCTGAAAAGCAGCAAAGACAAAGAGGAGAGCAAAGAAAAAGAAAAGAGAAAAGGGATAAGTGAAGAGGAGAGAGAGAAGAAGGATCGTAGACTGAAGGATAGTTTGGATCCTTTGAAAGATATGAAGAAAGCTCTCGGAGAGAAAGACAGAAAGGAGCACAAGAGCAAGAAAAAGGAAAAAAGAGACAAAGGGGAAAAGAGGAGCAGCGGCGAGAGGTAAGAATACCAGTATTGATTGTCTGGAAGTTTTATCCCCCTTAGTATTTTACTGGGGCTCAAGTCAAATTAAAGCGATCTTGTGGTGAATATCAAAGCAGGTCGGTAACAAAATGTCTGTCTGGTCTCTTCCAGCTCGATAGAAAGGTTACGTGCTGAGCGTTTACAGAGGGAGGCTGAGGAAAGGAGGAGAGCCCAGGCACTTCTGGAGCAGAGGAGCGGCAAAGGAAAGGAGCCTGGGAGGGAAGTGAGCGAGAGGGAGAGGCCTTACAACAGCGCATACTTCCCAGAACTAGCCCGAAAGCGACAAAGGCGGGACCGGGAGAGCTGGAGAGATGAGATTTTAAAATCCTGAGCTCTCTTTGCTGTTTACAGACTCCAAATAAAGACGTTCACAGGACGGCGTCACTGTGAACTCACTATGATACAAACAGAAAGTCTGAGCCTTCAGCGTTGTGATCGTTTATTTTTATTTATTATTTGTTACTCGCATGAGGGGCAGAGGTCAAATTTATCTGCAGAGTTTTACCCATGAACACATCAGCAGGGCAGATGGCCCATCACAGGGGGCTTGATGCTCAGCACGCCAGCAAAGACAGCGCTGTGTGAACAGCTGTTAGCAGGACATATACAGTAACAATCTAAAGAGTCTGTTAATCTAAAAACATTTACATTAAATCGTCTTCTGCGATGGTTTGAGTTACTAGTTTTAGGCCATTTCCATACATGCATGCATCCACCTCCTGCAGGTCTTCTGAGGGAGAGACTGAGACATTCCCAAACCAGAGAAAGAGGGATATAATGATTTAATTTCTCCAGCATACTCTGGGTCAAACCCAAGGTTTGCTCTTGGTAGGACATGTCCAAAACATTTTAACCTAGGAGGCATCATATTCAGATGACCGATCCACCTCAGCAGGCTCCTTTAGATGTGGAGGAGTAGCGGCTGTGCTCAGAGTACTTCCAGAATGACAGAGCTCCTCACCCTGACTCTAAAGAAGCGCTTCAGAGGAAGATCATCTCCACGGCTCGTATCTTCGACAACTCTTCACCGATCCAAATCCCTTATAATGTATGATTATCAAATATAAACAAAAATCATAATTAATATTTTCAGTATTCTGTGACACTGCTGGTTTAAAGAAACACTGTAAATGTCAATGGCAACAATAAAAGTATTATTATTTCCAGGAAAAAGCTCTCCCTCTACTCATCTTTGAGGCGAACTGACCGTTTCTCTATTTTGTGTATGTGTTTAATGTATATCATGCATCACTCACAGAAAAAGAAAAAACACAGGTAGAACTGTTGAAATTACTGACGACTGCTTCAGTTTCGGGGTCATGCCGCTGTGCTGACTCACACTCACAGTTTACAGGATGCTCGAATAGAGCAGAGCCATCGCTAACGTTCATAGTAACACTCGTGCTTTTCCTAATAGGAGAACACGGCTGTGAAAAAATGACCTTTTGTGTGTGTGACGGTGACCAGAACAAAGGATTTGAGATTTTACAGGCATATGCTGTGGAAATGTACCCACCCTGCAATGCAAAACTACTTTTATAGGTGATATAGCTAGTTTGTGGTGGCATATGTGCTGGCTCTTTTTGATAAGTTTATTAGGCTTAGATTGGCTGTAATAACCTCTAAAAGGTGAATTTATGGCTTTGTTTCTGAGATTATTTTATAGGATGCCAGAGCACAAATCACATCACACCCAAAGGTCATGATATGAATCCTTAAGTGATATTATGTGGATTTTAAAAATCCAATCCCAGATCGATATAAGCCGCCTCGTTTGCTCCCCTGTGGGCGCATTATCACGGGTGTGTTTTGATACTATGAGGCTGTGGTGAATGATCAAGCCGGACCATGACAATGCGCGCCGTGCGAGGCTGACGTAGGCTGGCGGAGGAGAAAAACACAGACACCCTCCAACACCGTGAGATGGAGGGAGGAGGAGCAGGTAGAGGGTAGGAAATATATAAATATAACGTCAGAAATAGAGGATGGTTGTTTTCAGCGGTGCTTGTGACCGAGGCAGAGCAGAAATGGATGCGCAGCGAGAGGCGGCCTGAGGATGCACAATAGAGCATCTCACACACTGTGTTTAATTGCGGATTAGAGCGGAGGGGAAGAGGAGGGGGAGGGGGAGAGCACAACAAGGAAGGCAAGGAGACGCTCTTTATTATTAGGAGAAAGCGGAGAGGAGGAGGGGGAGACGGAGACAGCGTGAGCCCGGAGACGGCACAGACCGTGGCGGGGGGACGGGAGAGAGGACACCGACGCTGACAGTCGGCAGCGGCGCTCGGATGCTGTTGTTGTTGTTGCTGCGGACGCGGCGACGATGCGGCCACACTGCTGGGTGATGGTAGCGTTGGCGGGGATCATGTCGTACTTCAGCCCGGAGAGAGCCCTCGGAGCACCGCAGAGGGAAGGTGAGCGGAGTCGGAGAAGGAGGAGGTTTGAAAAGCTGTCAGGGATGCTGGAGAAAGGAGAAGAGGATTTTGGGGGGTGGGTGGGGGGGTGGTATAGTCATTTATGAAAAGGCCTCTGCACACTGAGGTGAATATTGCATTATCAGCCAGTTAGACTGAGACATAATGCGAATTATTAGTGCTGGCTGACCTAATCACAACAGGAGCGAGGCCGACTGGGTGATGGGTTGGGTACCGTATTTGCATGCAATGATGAAAATATTTCGGGCCTCACATCGATGCCTTTTTAAAAACAACATGTACTGTATGCACAGCAGGGCTAAAATCGTCGGTCAGTGCTGGATATTTAGTCTAAAAATAGCCTCCACTTGGCTCTTGAGACTATTTAGCCCAATAACCACTGCTGGCATCTTTACTTTTTGCCGTAAATTTGAATATGCCTTGTTCGCTGAGAGCTGGCAGACTGTTGTGTTTGTGTAATGTGTGCAGTCATTGTATTGTGGTGTATTGTTTTGATAGAAGCTGTTGGCACAGAGGCTGGTGGAAAAGGCCCTGTGCTGGGTTCCTATTTATATGCAGTGTCTGTCTGGACATCTGTCTAGGGAAAGATGAAAGAATAGCACTGCTCAGGAATTGTGCATCAGGATTTGTGCCACTACTTGTGCTGCTGGTGCATGTTTTTAGGAGGGGGGCGAGAGGGTCATTCAGACTTTACAATGCTCCACTGCTCTGCAGATGTGATTTGAGGTTTATATGACCAATAATTAGCTATCTTTCCCTTTTCTTGGATTATCAGTTTGGTGCAATCCAGAGTGACAGTTTTCTTTTATTAGCCACAGATTGGGCCACAGCAGCTTTCACTTCAGTACAGAGCTGGTTTTATATGCTGGGCACATCTTCACTTACCTTTTCTCTGGCTGCTTCTGCACTATGTTGCAACTTTATGTTGAGCACAAAAATAAAATAAAATAAAAGTTGATAAAAGTCTACATTAGGTGCTGTGCAGAAGTCACAGAAACAAAATATTATTTCATTTCCTAGATTAAAAAAAAAGTTTTAGTTTTTTTGTCGAGTGTTGATCCTGTTCTTACAATATTTATCAAGCTGTTCAATTATTAAATATACTTTAACATTTATGCATGCAGTGTTTACAATATCATGACCATGTTGAGGAATGTACTTTGGGATTTGTATGAGGGACACAGACAATCACACTGTGATATCTTCAGACTGCACATATAAAAATAAACAGCAATTTATCTGCCAGTTATAGTTACAGTATCAAGGTTTATATGTGCCTCCTTTCCCCTATTATATTTTGTATTATATCTCTTAATTTTTTCTTATGATCATAGTTGTATATCTGCTTTTGACTGCCTTATTTACACAGAAAAGATGTAATTTAATTATTAATGGTTACATTTCATGTACAGTTTAAGCGTGAGTTTGACACCTCGTGACTGTTTCAAGGTGTCATTGTTCCTCTTTTTTGGTCATCTGTCAATGGTAATAAAATGTTTTGGCTGCAGAAGTGAAATGAAACCTATAAACAATACCTGAAGGGTATTTAACCACGCTGCCCTGCCCCTTTTCTTTTCTGCAGATGGTTCACTTCCCACACTCGACTACATTGAGGTACAAAAATCAAATGTCCCGACCCCTCCCTCTCTCACCTGAGTAGTAAACCTTCCTGATTTGAGTAATTCTTCTCCAATTTCTGATCCCTTCCCAAGTTAGCGCTCCTTTTTTTTACCTAAATGACAACTCCAGCCACCCACCTCCCCTGCTTCTTAACTGTGTTTCCTGAGTGGAATGCCATTTCTGATATTTCCCCCCTTCCCCCCAAGCTTTTCTCCTTACTGGAATGGTATACTCTCCCAAATTTTAATTCCAGTCTCTATTTTCTTTTTACTGACTCAGACAATGTGTTCTTTAATCTTCAACTTAGTTTGTTTTCCTGCTTATTTCTCCCCAACTCCCTGATGCAAACCGTCCATTGGGGTTCTCCACTGTGTCTCAGGCCTGCTTCTAAGAAAACGCTCCAATGGTTTTTCTGCTAAACACAACACCTATGTAACAAGATTTCACACCTTTCTGCTTCAGTGAAGTCTCTCTTTTTTTTTTCTTTTTTCACTGACTCAGACCTAGCATTGCTCCCCTTGTAGAAGCACAAATCCCCTGAATTTCTACATTAAACCTGTCCTCCGTTGTATTTTTCTTCCTGTCGTCCTCTCAGTTTCTCAGTCCAGGGCTGCATCCCTCTCTCCTCCACCCTACGTCGTCATCCTCATCTCTTGCTCGGGGCTTGTCTCTTTTGTTCTGCTGCTCCTCACCTGCCTGTGCTGTAAGAGGGGAGGAGTGGGGTTCAATGTAAGTCTTCAACATGTAAGAGATCTATTCACCTCTCTCTGCTTTCTTTTGCTTCTTTTCTTTGTTTTTTAATGCGTTTTGTGCTTGTCTGCATGCTTTTATATGTGTCTGACTTGGTAAACTGCACAAGTATTTGATTTCGAAGTGTGAACAGTCAGTAACTCCAACTTAATGAAGCAGAAGGGGTCAATAATCATCTCTCGGTCTAATTTTAACTTAGTGTTTTTGTTCAGCTGGCAGACAGAGTACCATTTGTTCAGAATGAATGATTTTTCATTGTCTGTCCTTGGTGGTTACTGCTAAACTCAGCTTTATTATTAAGTGGAATAATACGTTTTATTTTATATTCATAGCTATTACAGCTTAGTGATTTTTTTTATGTGCTGCTGTGGTTCAACCAGGAGTTCGATAACGCAGATGGGGAGGAGTGCTCTGGAGGCTCCAGTCCCATCCAGGAGGACAGCCTGTCATCATGTCCCTCCCTCCCTGAGGTCTACACCTTGCCAGTCAGAGACCGCCCCAGCTGCCCCTCCCTGCAGGATGGAGCAGGTAAAAACCTAAAGTGCCTCTCACTTTGCTCAAACTCTTATTGAGCTTCCTACCGCTCAAAATAAAGATGAAATCCTGCACTAAACTCCCTCAGGATCTGTTGCCTGAATCACTGATGCGGATCCACTAAAGGTCTCAAACTGAGTGCACAACCAGAAGGATTGGACTCCCTACTGAACCTCAGTGAAGTGGAAACTATGATTTGTGACAATTTTGCATCAGGGCTGTAATCAGGACACAGGCAGGGATGTGTGGAGTTTATGTATTTGGTTCAATTCAGTTTTATTTATGTAGCACTGCAATATAACCTGCAAACGTATTCAAACTAAAGTGTCATGAGTTTTGCTATTTAGTGGTCTCACTGACCGCTCACAGCACTTTACACTGCAGGCCACACTTATAGTGCACACAGTTCTATTCTATGCACATAAGAGCTTTATCTACCTTACACTCACACCTTTGGACTTTTAAAAAAATCATCAATTAACCTAACTGTAGACTGTGGAAGGATGCCAGAGTAGCTGGAGAAAACCCTCGCAGGCACAGGGAGACCATGCAAACTCAACATTATAATGAGAGACTCTGACTTCCTTTGAGCAAGCTTTCTTGAGTTGTATGTTTGAACTCTGATGGTACAGATTCTGATGATGAAAGTTTTCAAAAAGTAGAGAAATATTTCTCTCTGCTTAATTCAGGTTAAAAAGCTGAATGTATGAGCATGAACAATAATCAAGTTTATTGTGGAAACATTGAACTCTCTCTGCACGATGGCATGAGCTGATGATTGTTTTCATTATTGATTAAGTTTCTATAAAATCACAAGAAAAAAAAGGAACAAAAA